TATATATATATATATATATATATATATATATATATATATATATATATATATATATACAAGAATCAATTACAGTTTTTATGTTTTTTTTTTTTTTTTTTTGATGGATTCCTTGTGTTTTGCCAGCATACCTGTACCAATCCAGTCCCCGTGCGTAATGCCGATCGAAGAAGTGCGGCTCGGACCCCAGGGCGCGGATGTCCGGGTGGAGCCGCAGGAACTCCAGCAGAGCCCTGGTGCCCCCCTTCTTAACCCCGATGATAAGAGCCTGGGGCAGCCTCCGCGCGGCTGTCCACTCTTTCCCCGAGCTGTTGCCCTCCAGCGCCGGGTGGCTGCTGCCCAGAGCATCGGTTCCGTTCCCCTCTTGCGCCCATCCCGACCCCCTCACCACGAAGTCCCGCGCAGACGGCTTGATGTCAGAGTTTTCCGTGAGCTCCGACTCGCAGCCTCCGGTGAGGAGGTAGACCAAGGAGAAGCAGAGGATGCTCAGAGAGGAGGCGATGGTGAGTCGGTGAAAAAGCCGGCGGAGGTCGTTGGTTGGAGGGTGGTGGTGTTGCTGGTTGAAGTAGTGGTGGTAAAAAGCTCCCATCCCTCGGCTGTTGTCGCCACATGGGTGGCCATTCTACCACAACTTCAGTTCACATCCCGGAGAGGCGTCCTGTCTGTGCGCTCAGCTCCTCTCCACCTCCTCCATGCTGTGCGTGGAGCGCACCGGAGCGCACCTCCTTCTTTCTGCCCACAGTCAGCTCCAGCAGAAAAACAGCCAGACTAGTTGCTGATTTGTTTTATTTAGTTTGTTTGTTTTTTTGCTTTTACTGACTCGCTACAGTAGCGCGAAGAGAGAGAAATAAAACCCTGATTTCTGTGTCTTTGCACTTCACGGGACCTCTCTGTCTAATCCCACGAAGATCCTCATTCAGGGTTCTCTCTCTCTCCCTCCCTCCTATGAGCTTTCATTCCCTTCCTCTCTCTCCACTCTTAGATATCTTTCATTGGGGGGGTCATGGCCCGAGGCGAGTTTAAGTCCATTATTATAAATCGGAGGATCCCGGAGCTGAATGAACCTGCTGCGCAAACAAGCTCAGATCTGTTATATAATGTAAGGGGCGTCCTGTGTTGTTACCATGTAATTACCATCTCATATTTTTATTATTATTTTATTTATTTATTTTTTTTTTCATTTTGGTTTTAAAAGACTTAAGGAATATACTTTTTTTAAATGTGGCATCTCATCCATCGGTTGTACCAAATCTCTGTAACTTCGGACATTTCTTTACGCACATGGAAAATTTTCAAAATAAAAAAAGTTTTAAAAAGCTTCAGAGCAGGAAGCCTTCACCATCATTATGGTAGTTGTTGCTAAATAGCAAATACGGTGAACATTGGGTAAAATCTGCAAAAAATGTATCCCTGATACTGATACTAATACTTTTTTTAATGTATCATTAACCTTTTGGTGTTTTGGTGATTTTTTTTATTATTCCAATTGAGCAATGTAACATTATTAAAGTAAAGTTTTCAAGCAATTTAAAATAAAATCTTTGGATAACAAACCTAGATTAGCACACTACGACAAATGTTGCTTATTTGGCTGGAGCTGCTGAGCTGCATGGTGGTGCACGACGCAGGGGGAGCGGCAAAGTGCTGCGACACAGACAGGGAGATTTTGGTGAATCTGCTGCAGTCAGTGCACCTGGGAGAGAAAAAAAAAAAATCAATATTTTTACATGAGTATTGGTCAACATCAATGCCAGTGTTGGTATTATCACTAACAGGATTGATCCTCCCACCTATAGTCTAGTCTATTATAGCTCTGCATTGGTTTAAAAGCTGTACACCCCTTTAATTCACTGGGAAATCTGAGGATTTTTTGCTTCAACAGCTTCCAAGCACTAGAATATTATCTCTGCCTGCCTAGGGTTCACTTTTGCTTAAATGATTTTAGTTTCCTGCTCAAGAAACACATGTTTTTTTTAAAACTCCTGTTTCATATTTGTGATCTGCATCCTTTTACTAAAAATTGACATGAATTAAGACATTTGTATCAATTTGATTAGAATCAGAATCAGACATACTTTAATAATCCCAGAGGGAAATTACAGTGCGTTGTTTTTATTACTGATGATATTTTGCAGTAAAACATGATTTGAAAAGTGATACATAGATGATGTTACCTACTTTCCAACATCAATCTAACTCAATCAATCTAACTTGGTGGCAGGAACCTCCACAGCATGATGCTGCCTCCAACGTATTTCAGACATGGGGAAACAGTTTTTAGGGGAATGCTCTGTGATACTTGCTGCAAAGAGCATTTTGCATGATAAAAAGATGATTTGAATAAAAAGCCAATGAAATATCATTTTTAATTAAGAATTTAATTTGATGTTGTAATTTTTGGTAAAAACAAATTAAACAAAGGGGTATAGATTGCTATGTAAAATGATCTCATATCTGTGTCTCATTAAAGCCCCTGTTTTAACGCTGTGTATGATAGATGACCACAGAAGTACCTACGTTCATGCGCCATTATTGGTTTAAGGTTATTAGTGTCATTTGGACGTGGGCTTAACGCATACAGCTGACACTTTGCACACTAAGACCATAGCATAATTGGCTTAGTAATCAGACAGTATTAGTCTCTGTAGTCCACCTGCCAACTGTACTCTAATCCTGACCTCAAACCACCCTCTGCATTGTCCCACATTAGGTAATCATTGAGAAAAGTCACCAAACAACATCACAAGAAATGATTCAACACATTCCTCTGTTGTGGTGAGAAAATTAATTCAAGTTGAGAAAGTTTTACTGACTTTGATCCAGGTTTGCATATGATAAGTGTTTGCTTTAGCACCTGCATCAGGAGAGGAGCGTTGCAATACTCTGAGTGGGGAGCTCTGCAATGTTGCTTTTTATTATTGCAGAGTGTGGAGCTAAGGTACGGGTAATAGCTCATAGGAGACTCATTAGTTCTCCATCCCAGAGACACACACAGACACACACATACTCATTCTGCAGTCATAGTGAGGACCATGTGTTGACTCCCATTTTCAACCCTTTCCATGCCCTAACCCTAAACCTAACCATTACCAATACATACCTTACCCTAACCCTAACCAACTGACACCGTAGCCCTAAACCTAACCATTAACAAAAAAGCATGTGAGGACCGGCAAAATGTCCTCACTTTGCAACAACTGGTCCTCAATTTGATGGTGAAACTGGAAAAATGGTCCTCACTCTGAGGGCTAGACAGGTACACACACACACACATATTTTATGTTCCATTTGGCCTACCGCTGTCATTATCCCAGAGCAGATGTGACCCATGCCGTAAAACCACTGCATTGTCCTGCAATGAGTAAACAGATCCGCCGCTCATTTCCTAAAAACATATAATGCTTTATGATATTTATCATCTCCTTCATCCTGTTTGCCGCTGCTCAGGCAGAAACAAATAGCTATCTCAAACGATGAGATCTCCTGGTAATGTGCCACATTTGCATAACGACGCAATCAATTTCTTGACAAGGAAACAGAATTTGCATCTTACAATCGTGCCTCTCATACCATAATAACTTAGAAGAGAGTCATCTTACGTGATCTGATGCAGAGTTCAAGACATGTGAAGGTTTAGATACGTCAGTAAAGCAGATTCTCTCGGATAAGCGTTGGATCTTTGGTGTTGGTCACGGAACTAAGTGTGTTCTAAAGATGATCCAATTCAATTATATTTAAAGGTGATTAATAGCAGCATTTTCTGCTATTTCCAAAAAGAAATAAATGTGTTAAGTGATATTGTTGTTGAGGCTTTTGTTTCCTCCCTTTGGCTTATTTGATCAACCTTTGGTAAAAACGTCTTGTCCTGATTAACAGCTTTTAGAGTTATAGTCTGTTTATCTTCTGTGTCTTTTCTGTCTGCTGCACGCTCCTCGATAATATGATCAAATCTGCTTTAACATTAGAATCAGAATTCATTTGATTGTCATTGTGCAAAAGAAAAACAACCAAATGAAAAGACAGCACCTCTCAAGGGCAGTGCAAATAAATAAATAAATTGTGATCAAGGTTGCGTTGCGTTGTTCAGGGCAACAAAACCTCTTTGGCAGAGACAGATTTCTAGGCTGTTAGTTCTTAACTTTATTGCCCTGAAACGCCTCTCCGAGGAGAGGAGTTTGAAGACGTGATGGCCGGGGTGGTATGGCTGCCCTGTGGTGCTGTGGGCTGTCCTGTCGATCACCTCCAGAGATGAAAGAGAGCAGCCAATCAGTCTCTGGGCATCTTTATAACCCAAACTTTTTTTTGTATGTTTTGTTCTCATAAAACTAACTGCAATGACAATGAGACATGTTGTTGACTAAAATATTAAAACATGCTAGAGTTAACCTAGCTGCTCTGCCTTACCTCGACAAAGAAGTGAACGTGAAGCTACATAGATAATGGTTCCTGCTCTGTATGGTCGTCTGAACACTTGAGAAAGGAGTACCGTATTTTCTGCACTATAGGTTGCACTCTGAATGAATTGCCTATTTTTTACATTTTTTCATATTTAAGGCACATAGAATAGAAGCTGCAGTAGTGGCTGGGGTTGCGTTATGCATCTACTAGATGCAGCTATAATGGGGGGAGAATGTCAATAAAGCAGTCAGATAAACTTTATTAATATATTACGGTATTTACAATATGACCAACCTTCTTCAGCTATAAACAAACGCTGCCTCCCCGTCTTGAAGAACATGTCTTCGCCTCATGTCAACCACTGCTTCCACGCAGTTCGCAGTCTAGCTTTGAATGCCCTGTTGACACCAATGTCTAGTGGCTTGATTTCTTTTGTCAATCCAACCTGAATTAGTGGTCTTCACTTGTTTTTTTGACAGCATCAGTCAGATGAGACCGCATTGAGTCATAGATTAATAGGGACCGGCACACCGGATTATAAGGTGCACTGTTGGCTTTTGAGAAAATGTAAGGCTTTTAGTTGCGTCGCATAGTGCAGAAAATACGGTAGCGGTTAAAACATTCCAATGCAAACGGTGGCACTCCATTGTAGAGCTGATTCCAACCAAAAATCAGATCAATTTACACAGAGTCCTCCACAGTTATTAACATTCCTGGAGAAGAGGCCTAAAAAGCCTTACAATAAGGAATTTTTCTTTCCATTCAGCAGCAGATGGCTCACAATACAACTCTTAGAAAAAATCTTTTTATTTCTATAAATTTTTATTAATCTCTAAAGAGCAGAAAAATCACAGATACATTTTTTGATTACCTTTATTTCATTCGTTTTTTTTTTATTCATAAATTTACCTACTTTTCTGTTACTATTCCTAAATTGATCTGGAAAAACAGGGTGACACAATGGCTCTGAAAGCATTCTGACCAGGTCAATTCCAAAAGCTTGAATTAAGTGGAGGGGCAGAGTTTATGCAATATTTTTTTAGGAAACACTTTAAAACACACACCTGGTTCCTCATTGGGTGCTGTTTCCACATGGCTGAAGGCAGAGATGGGAACTCGGGTCCTGTGATTTAGAACTGAATTGGTGTTTAGCCTGGATTTGATGAAATCACTAATTACTTTGAACTTCTGCTTCAGTTTAAAAGCAGTAACTTCACTTTAACTGGATCCCTTTGACTTGACTTGATATCAGACAAAGAAAACGACAAAGAAAAATAGATTTGAAACAATGAAAGAGTTGAAAGTCCCTATCCAGTCTGCTGCACTCCCAACCCTCAGCGCCCCATTTCCTCTTAAAGCGTTCTCAACTTAGGCTGTATATACAATCCAGATTCTCATGTTTATGTATAAATATA